GTAATTAATTCCTCCTGCAGAATATATATAATATATATAGACGCCCACTCTTCCGCGGGGATGCCAGCGCGCAGCGAGGCAGGTAAACAAAGAAGATGAAGGATGACCTTTAACTCCAACAGGATTGCCTGCAGTAGCTGTGATTTAGCAGCTGTTCTAACTCCACTCTCCTAAGCAGGGCCCACTTCATCAAAAGCTGAAACGAGGAAACGGCCGGAGATGGAGAAGGGCTAGGGAGGAGCGGGATCAACCTTTCCACGACGCGAGTGATGGCCAGGGCAGGAGGACTCGCGCGCGGGTCTCCTTCAGGCTTCGCTCAGGACCACGGAGACCGCGGTAAATAATCCCCAAGCGGCTCTGCTGACACGAAGGCTGTTTGCAGAACACGGATTTCACCGTTCCGCCCTTTATCAAGGGTTGTAATTTAACACCTTTTGCACGTGCAGCCTCTGCCAACATCAGTTAGGGCCCGGGCAGGCAGCAAAGAGGGACAGGTCTGGGCTGCGGCTCAGCCCTTGTCTGCAAGACTAATGCTGAGAGCTGCCTGAACCCTTTGGAAGGCAGGAAATGTTTTCCAATGTTTAACAAACATATAATCCCCCTTGTACATTCTCACCCTTGGGTGACAAAATGGTAAATCTTACCTGCAAGTCACAGCCAATATAGGGGTGGCAAATAAAAACAGCTTTCTACTGACCAGCCTTCATTAGTATGTATTGGAAACCTGAAACAGCATTCGGCTATGTGGGGGAAAAAGTGCAGGAGAATTGCTTTGGATTATAATAATTTCAGCAAAGCATCTAATTTATATATTAAGCTTGCTTAATGGACTTATATTGCCTTGCTCTTTGATCTGAAGAAAAAGGTAGTGAATAATTTATCAAATATTAAAAAAAAAAATCCCCAGCCCAGCCCACGTGCCACAATCTGCCCTGTAATTTACATTTTTTAAGAGATGCCATTACCAGGCAGGAGAATGGGTTCCTAAAGATTCCTTCTAATATTACAAATCTATTTTCACAAGGTACACTCTGGGGGAAAAAAATAATAATGAAAGAACGCAGTTCTGCAGACAAATGTTCCAGCTCTCTGCCTTCCTCACTAAAGACAGTCATTTCAAGTAAATGCCAAAAGGCATTTAGCTGTAACATTTGTCAGCAGAATAGGGTTGGCTTTAGGTTTCCCTCCTGATTTACAATTGAGTGTTTATTGGGTTTACTGTACTGCAGCATGTTGTGCTAACCTCCAAAAAACCCCATCCGGCTTGTGCATTAATCACAAGGGTAATATCCATCAGGGCAGGCCTGGATGGACGGGAGAGGGACACTGGCTGCTCCTGTGGGGATTGCAGGGAGGAAAAGTGCAGCAGGGACTCCAGGCTGGACTGTAGCTATGCTGTGCCAGGTTCTGGCTTCCCAAGTGGTTCTTGTAAGATGCTTAACTTTTATTTTATTTTATTTTATTTTATTTTATTTTATTTTATTTTATTTTATTTTTTCTTTTAACCAGGAAGGGGGGAAACCGTGCCGTTGCAAGCTCGCGGGGAGAGCTTCACCTTCTGGGGTGCTGCTGTTTAAAGCCTAACTACCGGGACCTCCGTGCCCGGATTTCCTAGAAGGTGTGGGCACAAGCCCGGCAGTTGTTCCCCATCATCCCTGCTCCATCAGTGCTGGTGATCACAGCTCTATCATGACTCTTGACAAGTCTCCCATTCGCATTTCCCCCGCATTTGTCCAAAGCAATGAGTTGTCAAACGTTTACAGTGGCTGTGCACAGGGTTTATTCATATTTAAATAAAGCCATTATCCTGGCCTTGAGTTTCAGTAGTTTTCTGCTCTTCCTCTGGAGTATTTCTCTCAGTAGTGCCATCTAATCAGCTTTAGGTTTTAATTAAACAGCTGTCATTTGCTTCCTAGTTCTGTTGCGACCTGATGTTGTATTAAATTTTAATTTAGCCTAGGCTGGATAAGAAGTAGATTCCTTCAGACAACAAAGAAATGCTATTAGCAGGTTACAGTTGTAATTAAGAAGAGCTCTGCTGAAGTGCTAATGGATTCAGGTGGAGAGAGGAACCCGAGATAAACGCGGGCGATTGTAATTCTGGGCTCGAGGCTGCGGGATGAGATGTAGCTCTTACCCGGGCTGCTTGAATCGCAGGTTTGGACAAGCTATCACGGCTAAAACCCTTCACAACAGAAAGAGGAAAAGCGGATTCCTGTTTTTCCCTCTGGGACTAGAGGTTTGGGCTGGTGGATGTTGCTGCAGGTGCTTCAGGGAAGCTGTGGAGGACCGGGGAGGACCAGCCAGTAAGTCAGATCTCTTATTCCTTCCTGCATCCCAGATGCTGTCAGTAATAACCAGCACAGGTATCATAAATTCAGTGCTTTTTCTTTTTTTTTTTTTCCCCTAAAGTAAGCCCTATCATGGAACTATAAACCAAACCTAATAGAATCTAGATGAAATGTTATTACTTGTTGGAGATGCACTAAAAAAAATGTTTGTTTATAAATCTAATGGGCAGGCAATTAGTTCAGCTCTGCCCTCATATTTCTTCCTCAGAGGAAATACATTTTTGCAGTCTATAAATAGCGAGCTCTCAGAAAGGTCTTTATGCTGCCTATTAGACTCACGCAACGCTCGCTCCTGAGCCTGGGCAGCTCAAATATTGATTCCTATCACAGGATCGCTGACGTTGAGGCGTAGGGTTTTGAGGCTGCACTGGGTGATTTGGGATGGGAGGAAGGTGCAGGGCCAAGCTGGCATCAAGCTCCAGGGGAGCTTATTGCAGAGCACCCATGGGTGCCTGGGTCCCTGGCGCGCGTGTCCCCCTTTGCCGCAGGCATTTGGACCCCCTTGGGTGCCTGGAAAGGGGAGAAGGAACCACAGGGCTTGTTCATGCGGTGTCACATGTGAAGGTCACCAGGAGGGTGCTGCCATGAGCAGTGCAGAAAGCCCAGGAGAAGTTGCCTCAGGTCCGTTAGTAACTTCATTCCAGCTCCACTGAAGGCAAGAGAAGGATTTCAGCCCTGGCTCATCGGGGCTGGGGTCGGATCGTGGGGTACAAATGTAGCTGCATTAACCAAAGGTGCTTTGGAAGCAAAATTAGTGGCAGTTTTTGTGACTTGGCACAAACACCGTTTCCCCGATGAACATTTTGATGTACGATTTAGACAAGGTGGCACTGTGTGTGGCGCGTGGTTCTGTGAGATTGATGGCTTGGGATCTGCAGGATATTTGCCGTTGGTCTGGTAAGTCTCACTCCCCTCTTCTGCAGATGAAGCACCCTTGGTTTGTCTTTATCTGTCTCACACAACCTCATTCTGCCTGCGAGGCATCTCATTTCTCCTTTGCACATGGCACGACATTTTCTCCTTAGTTTTATTCCAAGCCCTGACTTTGTAAAAGGTTTTGCTGTTGTTCTTTCACCCTTTTGCTTCTGTCACAAACTTCTCCATCTCTCTCCCAGTGTCCCACGCTCATGGCCAGCAGCTGGTTATAAATGAGCCCATTCAGCATAAATAAAAACTAGACCATCATTTCCTATGTAAAACATCTGGTTTGCGCCTCACTGAGAGCAGAATGCAGACGGTATATTTATTTCATGAGGCATTATTCTGAAAAGCATCTCCATTCAGGACAGGCCTTACTTAAACACATGCTTAAATCATCTTGAAGTCCAAGTGTCAAGTTCAGCATGTACTTTTAGTGCTGTTCTGAACAGAAATGGACTCAAGTACACGCTTAAGTGCTTTGCTGGAACATAACTGCCCATAAAGTGCTAGTAGACTATATTAGTTAGCTGGCACTAGTGGTATTAGTACTTGAACTCATTTAATTCTGGGTACTTTTTGTGGAAGTTTCCTAATATTGATTAATAATACATCTTGCTTGCAGTTATTTATCGGTCTTCTCCAGCTGTCTTTAGCTTGTGGTCAATGCCCATTATTTTCTATCAATCTAACTAGCAGACAGAAGCAAATGATAGTGAATATATCTCTATGCCTATGCAAGCTGTTATCAAATTTTTCACTAAAATCCATTTCTCCTTCTACCAATTCTAATCATGGAGTTTAAAGTCAGATTAGTTGGAAACAACTTTTTTTTTTTTTCTTCCAGATGACAAGCAATTAGTTTTAGGGAAGTTGAAAAATGAAAAGCCAATTGACTTAAGGCAGTATTTCCTATTGCAGGCTCTTCTCGAAGGCTTCCTCTGTGAAGGAAAGCACAGCCTGGCCCCCTCCATGCACTTAGATCACGTTCTGGAGCTGGTGGTTGGCACTATTTAAGTAGAGGAAAGCTCCTCTGAAGGCCTTTGGAGCCTCTTCCCCAAATCTGCCCAGCTCCTGCAACGCAGGGACTGATAGGAGCAACCCATTTGGAGTAATTAATCAACCACAGCCACACTGAGATGCGGAGGAAGGCTGCGTTAATGGAGTCATTAGCGTGCAGAGCTGTGGATTCATCAGGAGAGATAAATGGGCCAAAACATCTCTAGGAGGGATTTTGATGGGAAAACTTGTGTGTGGCATTGCGTAGCTTGTAGTAACTCAACCTCATGCATAGCTTTTCTCATCGTGTGTTTAAGTCCAGAACAGGAAAAGTAGAGTAAGGGTAGGAATGCTGTTATAGCAATGCTTGGTTATCACCTCCCAAATCACTGGCATGATTTGGGACATACGGTGAGAAGAGTTGCTGGCCTCCTCTCAAGATTGAGCCCGACCAAGGCTGTGGTTCTGCCAAGCTGCCGACGTGCCTATTGCCACAGCAGCCAAGCCCATACATTGCCTTGGAAAGAGTAAGTCCAAATGTCTCCTAAGGGCAAAACATGGTAGGCTAGACCCAACTTCTAGCTCCAGAAGTTATTAAACCACTCCGAAGAGCATGTGAGAGGACAGATCACTCTCTTAATACTTTTCCTGGTCACTGCCAGGGTCTCAGCCCACTAGCAGCCTTGTCTTTATGCCTCTCTAACATCCCTCCTTGTTTGTGTGTGCATGCAGGACACCGAAGTCCTCAACACGGCCATCCTGACGGGCAAAACGGTGTCTGTTCCAGTCAAAGTTGTTGCCGTGCAGGAGGATGGAGCAGTGGTTGATGTTTCCGAGTCCACTGAGTGCAAGTCAGCAGACGAAGACGTCATAAAGGTAAGGCAGCAAAGCAAGGGATAAATAACAGTGTTTTCACCTTTTTCTCCTCCGCCACCATCATATGAGCACCTAGCCCAAGTTCCATATAATGCAGTATATTGGAACAGCGTACAGCAAAGTTTTCTACAGGCTACTGATGGCTTCACCTGCTTCCAGGCAGCATTTTCTCATAAATAAAGATACTGAACTTTACCAAAATCTGGAGGAGCAGGATAGAGAACAGAAAACGACAGCCATATTGCAAAAAATCTTAAAACAAGATCTGGGAGATTCAAACAATGCTTTTCTTTCAAATTTAATGTGTTCAGTTGGTTCTCACTCCCCAATGCTGAGATGAAAATAGCTTTAATGTGGCTTTATCATGGAATTGATTATATGACTTATGGCACTATTTCATGACTTTTTATCAGCTTTTAACTCATCATTGTTATTTAGGCATAAAAAGGGTATTTTTGAATATCTTTAGTGGATTTATTTGAGTTATAATATGTGGTTTGGGCCTGGGGATTTTCTTTTGTTTTTAAATGAACTTCATAAATGAGTACAATATCCTTCATGGAGGCATTTTTTTTAACCTCCCTGAAGGTGAAAAGAATAGACCTGAGATGATGATTTCCTTGCTCTGTTCCAGGAAAGTGCAGTATATTGTATGTAAATGCTAAAAAAGTAGGCTGGCTTACTATCCCTTTTTATACCTCTCACCCATGGGTATTATTATAAACTCTCTCTGTAGTTCTCAAGACACAAGCTCTTCCTGATATTCCAGCTATTAATTGAATCATGTCTGAATGTGTTCCCACTCTGGTCACTTTTGTAATTTCTCTTCAGCTTGCATTTGAAACACACATCCAAACCTGTCTTCTTTTAACATATCAGTGTAACTTATTTGTAGATGAAACTAAAAAGGTTCTCACAGGTAGCTTGTAGTTTGTCAGATAATTTTTCATATTCTCTCTACTAGCTAAAGAAATGCACACAACAAAGCTGTTATTTATTTCGAAGACCACATACTGGAACAAAACATTCACCTTCTTATTTTTGACAATTCTCAATGAGCTCATTGCATTGTTTTGAAATAAATTACCTCTAAAACAAAGAAAATCTCATTGCATTTCAGTTCCAACAGCAAAGAAGTTCCTTTGCAGTTAAAGATTTTCTTTTGCAACTTTACATTTTGTAGCAGATTTTCTCTCTCTGAGACCATTAGATGAAGGATCTTGTATACTCCTAGGTAGCTGTAAGAAAGGCAAAATAGGTTTCTGTTTGGGTGAAAGCCTTCCTCAGGCAACATCTACTTGCTTCCAATGTTTTTGCTGAAGACTTATCTCTATATATCATGAAGGCAGATCATTCGTAAGTAAGATTGAAGTTATTGTAGAGGGGCGGTTGTGCCACTGAATCCCTGGAGGAGTTGATGGCTTATGGGGGTTTTGTTTAGTGACAGCAATGCCTAGCACTTTACAAATCCAGGGAAAGGTCAGGGGAATGTTTCTTTTTCATGGACATGACTGATGCAAAGTTCCTGTGTTCTAGCTTCTATGTACTGGATGGCTACATAGTTTTCAAAGAAAGAGTTTCTTGATTATTTTTTTCTCCGTGTACCATATTGTTATCTAATTAGTGGCTATATTTATCACTTCATAATGAATTACTCCCACTGTAAACTCAAGAACCAAGTCATATATAATCAACATAGTGCTGACATTGTGGTTTTTTTTCTTGCACTTGAGAAAACCAAATCCAGATCTAAAAGATGGTTTGTGTGGACATGCATTTGTATTATTCAAGTTTCTAATATTTCTAGGACTCATTACTCAGAGAACACTGCATTGAATTAGATAGTGAGAGGTCAGGAAAAGGACTTTCCCGCCTCTTCCACCGCTAAAGTTAACGTCTGCATTCTTCAAGGAGAAGAGTTGCATTTCAAAGCATTCTCTGTGTAAAGTCCATTTAGTTTAAACAGCAGTTGTCTGTATGGATATACTGTCAAAGCTGGGTGTAGATTTATGCCCAAATTTAAAAGGTTCCCAAATTTAAAAGGTCCACTTTTGGACCTTGTCAAGGAGTTGACAACTAAACAAGGCTTGACATGACCTCTGTGAGCAGAGATGGGACTTCCAGGTGCAGCTGTGAATTTATACACTTTGAGAAAGCAAAGCTCTTCCCCTCTGAACACTTTCCTTTCTTGCCTTTTCAAAAGAGGTTGTATTTTTGGGGGGAATTAAATAACCTGCTCCAAAGCACCCAACAGTTGATGAGTGTCTTCCTGTTCCTTTCAATGACTTTGGATAAAGCAGACCAAGATACAGACCAAAAATCTGCACAGGTTTTACAAGGTTTGCACTGTGTTTCCCTTCTCTTCTAAGTGACTAATTCAGGTATAAATCAGGTCTTCATTTTCCTGTTTTGTGAAATTATCTGGGCATTAAATCATCTGACTGCAGAGAATGCCTCTGGGACTCTTTTTATTTAATGAACAAAACGAACAAGTCAGAACATGATCTTCACTGAGTTCATCTTGCTTCATCCTAGTGATATAAAAGGTCTCAAAATCGGAATAATGTTATTTTTGTGAAAATTGCAGCATGCTTTATAATGGCTTTCACTCCTAAATTACTGAAAGAGGCTATCAGACTGAATGCTGTTCAGGCATGTTTTTTAACTGGAAATAGGTTGCAAAATTGAATCAGTTATAATTATGTGAAGTTTAGTACAGGGTTTTTATGCCTATATATTTTCAGCAAAATGCATGCATGCTTTACAAGTCCCTTTGGTAAAGTCAGCATTGATTTGCTTTGAGATTTGTGTTGCCTTTTCTATATAGGTTGTACCGCTAAACTTTCTAGGAAGAGTTGCTAGGCATTTTGGATATAATTTTCTAATCCTGAGCTTCTTTTCACTGTTAATTCTGGCTTTATTGTTTCTTTGTAATTGGGGAGATATTCATATTCTTTCGGATAGAAGAGAAAGTGTTGCATTCTTAACCTTTTATTTCTGTTTAATAGGTAATGATTTAATAGTAACAAGTAATTTAACAGTAACAAGACAATTCTTTGATCACTTCTGTAAGATAATTATTTTCAATTAAGCCACAATGAATTCAAGGTAGTTTAAATAAAAACATATTCTAGTCCAGGCTGTTATCTCTCTGTAGGTATTACTAAGTGTAATTACCTGGACATCTACCTATATACTATGTTGATATAAATACTGCTCAGAGACACTCGGGTAGATAGATGATGTGTAGGTGATTTATTTGTAGACGAGGGATGTGAATCTTTCCTATTCCAAACAATATTTTCCCCCAGCCTAACAGTTTAATAGCTTCCCAGCAAGAGAATATTTCAGTCTACATATTTCAAAGTCTATATAATTAGTGGTAAATATAATGAAATACATGGATTACTTTTTGACTTTTCATTTTCAGACCTTAGCAGGACTTGGCCCTTAAAGGAGTTTCACAGGTAAACTTGCTTGATTGGACTGCAATTCCCCCTATTTTATTTATATTCTTGATGGTGCACAGGACATAGGTTATAACATTGACTGACCATTTTAACTAGTGCCTGCCCTCTAAAAATATTAGCATTACATTACTGTGAGTTGGTGAAACTCCCATGCTTATTCCATCATTGCAAGGGAACATTTAATACTGTTGGCATTTGAGGGAAGAGATTGGCTTTGTGATTAAGGCACTAAATGCTTCTCAGCATTAATTTCCATATCTCTTGCTGATTTCCTGTGTGACTGTGGGTAAATCACTCGTTCCTCTTGGAATCTTATCTGCAGACACGGCTGCACGATACATCCTGTCCCCAGCCCCTGCCTCGTTGCAGTTGCTAGTGCTGCTGTTAACTCTGAATGGACCAAACCCTTATCTCTACTGGAGTCCCACTAACTTCACTGCTCTTCCACCAACCATGGAGTGACTCAAAGGACTTCTCTCCCTGTGTCCCTGCTTTTCCTGCAAACCAGTGCTAAGTGGGATTATGAAACGGGAAAAAAATGAGTGATGGAAACGTGAGCAGATTTATGCAGCAATTATTTGGCTGCTCTGGTAAGGGGTCAAGCAGTGATAATGGAGTTGTAAGCATGATGGAGGGACCTTTCCTGGATGTCTGCTGTGCCATCGGGCCTCAGGCTTTGTAAGTGGAGGAGAAAGATGTAAAAGATTAAAGTAGCTGCATCATGGCAGGCAGCTCCTTTGCTCATCTATCCTGCCAGGAAGTGTAAAACATTACTGAGGTTTTGCTGGCCTGTTCCTGTGGCCCTCACTGGCTCCTCGGCCTCTGCGTCGTAGCTGGAAGGAAATATGGGATTAGACCAATAGTGCTGGTGGAGAGAGATGGTTGCATTACAGGGGAAAGCTAATCTGAGGGATCTGGGCACAGTCAGTCTCTACAGCTGCTGCAGTGCTCCAAGCAAGGTCAATGCACTGCTTCATCCCTGCAAAAGTGCCCTTAGAAGCCTGAACCACAGGAATTTCATAGGAAGAGAAACTCCAGCAACATTACAGTTACATGGGAGTCATAAACATCACCCGTGACGTAGCACCGAGTGAGGAAAGGCCAGTTTCTTAGACCAAATGTTTATGTCAGTAGTGTACAAATGGAAGGGAGACAGCTGCCCAATTAATTCATTCTTAGATTAGTCATATTTTGGTGTCCTTTGCAAGTTGTGCACAAATTGAGTAATGTTTCCAATTAATCCGTGCAGCAATTCAAATGGCTTCCATGCAGTTATACCATGGACTAATTTAGCCCATTTTTTTAGGTAGCAGAAAAGGCCCTCGCTGGAGCAGAAGGGAGTCAGGGGCCTCATCCTGCCCGTTCCTGCCCACATGCAAAGTGCAATACGGTCAGGCTCGATGTGCCCAGGCAGAGACACACATTAAACTTCAGTGCTCCAGCAACGCGCCGTGAACCCCGTCGGCACGAGCACACGCTTTCTTGTTTGCTTGCTAGGGGAAGGCACTTCGGTGTTTTCCACCTTTCCAT